TGTTGTGCTTGGCAATTCAAGCAATTCTATTCTTGTTGAACGAGCATATAACCTATATCCTTCACGAGCTCAGTTCATTTTCAATTGTAATGTCGTTTTTTAGTTAAGTTAATTACTCAAGTTTAATTGAGCTTTCATTCCCAGGGCTATATGGAATGTCTTGCAATTTTGTGGTTCAAATTTGGTTGGGTAAATTCAAGTGCAGGTCCGGTAAAAGACCCGACTGAGCAAATGTCGGTCGACTGATCGCTCGCTAGTACATGAATCTTTCGATACATTGAAATTGCTTTGACTGAAAGAGCGCCCGTAAGTTTCTCTCTTTTAGGTTACTGAGTCATGTCATGGACTTAATGGTTTGATTTAATTGTGATTATATCAAAACATCCACTGATTTTGCTACTTATGCATTCTATAGAAAGTGGTTCTCATCATGCAATTTTAGAAGGATGAAAAATTGTTAGATACCTCTGCTTAATTATTGAAGTTCTGCATTTGTTTAATCTAAAAAATTAGATTATAATTTCCTGCTGTATAGAAGATAATTTAGAATATGATACAACTATCTGTCAGAATATTGCTTTTATTGAATAGGTGTAAAGTTGTAATTTTGCATGCATATGCGTGAAAGTGGGATAATTGAATTTGATGAATGCTTATGATTGGCAATGATTTTTATTAATCATACAGAATTTATGACAGCTGATCCAAGCGGGATAGCGTTTATTCATGCAGGCTTTAGGTTATGTTTGGTAGACAAATAAGCTAGCTTATAGCTTATTTAGTTAGCTTACAAACTCCCTGTATTCAAATAAGTCTCGTTTGGTAGGACGAACTATTTTAAAAAGCTCGAGCTTATTTGATAAGTTTCTTTAAGTAGTTTTTCAAATAAGCTAGTTGGAATTTTTTATTCCAGCTAGCTTATCAGCTAATTTTACCAAACACTTTTATCATATAAGCTAGTTTTTCAGCTAGAAGTCATAAGCTATAAGCTATAAGTAGCTAGGGGTGAGCGTCGGTGCAGTTCGGTCAAAAACAGCACCGCACCCGGAAAAAACCGAAAATCGAATTTTTGAAAAATTTTCACCGAATCGCACCGCAATAGAAGGAAAAACCGAACTGCACCAAATCGAAATTTTCGATTCTGTGCGATTCTGTTTTTCGGTTAACCGAAATTAAAAAAGATAACCACCAATTAATGTTATGTAACTAAAATTGTAAAATTAAGGTGATATATTATTTTTTTTAAAAAAAGTGACATTTTATGACATCCGGTGCGGTTCGGTTAAAACCGCACCCTTCGGACATAAAACTGAACCGCACCGAAATACTTGCGGTTATTAAAAACCCAAACCGCACCGAAAACCGAACTTACCAAAAACTGCACCTGAATAGTTCGGTTCGGTGCGGTTTTTCAGTTTCGGCTCGGTTTTGCTCACCCCTAACTATAAGCTAAAAAATTACTGATAAACTTATAAGCTAATTTATCAGCGAACTTATCAGATTGTTTTACCCATAGGTGTGCTTGTTTAACGTTTTTTCATAAACAAATCTCTCTCTCATTTATATTCTTCCTTTTCATTTGGATTTTGTGGAGGTTAATGAGTATAGAGAGATGAAGCGAAGGCATGGGAAGGAAATTTAGGGTTGGTGAATAATGGTGCTCTGAGTTTATGCATCTTGCTCCATGTGCACATGAATTTTTATAATTAATCACAACCATTCAAAGATAGAGGTGGCCATTTGGTTGGCCGGGTCCCGTCGGGTCGCCGGGCTACAAAAACACGGGCTCTGAACCTGCCTAGATGTAGGTGGGGGCCGGTTCACAGGCTCGGCGGTTTGGGACCGGCAAGTTCACAGAAAAAAAAAAGAAAAAAAATTGAGCGTTGGCGCGTCTTCTGACCCGGAACCGACAAGCCAAAAAGAAAATTAAGAATCAGAACCGGCCCGTTTGTAGCACGGGTCCGGTTCAATGACCTGTGCACACGGGCAGGTTCCGTCTGTTACGTTAGGCGTGATGAGCACAATTAGAATTGTCAGTTCTGCATTTGAAAACATACTACAATAGCAATTGATAATTGATAATTAATAATGTTTGAAACTTAAATTAATATATGTTTATCTTATCCACGCCCTCAAATTTAATAATCAACCTATCTTATCAACCTAATAAAACTATATGGTTATTATAAAAATGCATAATCACAACTAATATGTTAGCTAAAAAGAATACTAGACTTCTGACATGATTTTTCACTAATGAATTGATCACAACTGTAATTGGACTCATTTTGATACATTTTAGTTTTAAATTAATAGTATATCATTTGCATATCTATATTTTGAAGTGTTAATTTCTTGTAAAGTAACAAATTAATGTACCTTGATTTACGCCAACCAGCATGTAATTAAGTGGTCGGGGAAATGCTACAGTCTCGTTACGTAATTATTCCGTTGAAATTTATAATCGTTAAATTATCATGTAACCGTCGTAAATATAATTGATCTAACGGTTATAAATCCCGACGGAATTGTTCGGGGACCCTAAAATCTCATGTAAGTAAGGTTCATTTCATTTGATACATTTTTTGTTCAAAATTATTTTTTTATACTAATTCAAATTAACTTTATGGTATTTGCATGTGGCTGTACACATTCACCACGCATGCACAGCTAGTCAAAAGTTTTGAAATATTTATATATGTACTGATTTTTTTTAAAAAAAAAATATTAATTCATTGATATTCTATGCAAGTGCGACTAATACTACGGTAGTAATGCAATTTTCGATTTTGAAATTTTGATAAATTAATGATCTTTTTTTCTTATCAAAAATTTTTTTCATATAAATTAAAGATCTTATGAAAAAAATAAATAAAAAAATAGTGCATTGTTTAATTTTCATGTTATTTGTGTTAAAATTAAGTATTTTCTGAAGGTGTAGGACCGTCAGTACAACTAAGCATACTGCGAACCTTTGAACATGGACAATTTTTATTATTTTTCATTAAAAAAAAAGCACAAAAACGTCTTGGAAGGTTCGCCAACAGTTTTTAAAGTGTGGCCCACTAACTGTAAACGGTGATGGCAACGGTAATAATGTCATACAATTATAAGGGCATCTTTAATGGCAAAGGTTTTTAAATCTTACTTTTTACATTCTCAATAATCCACATCATTTAAACCTCATTCTTACTCCCAATATCACAAACCTCCAATAACCATAAACCTCACAAACCTTTATTTAGTGAGCCCCACATGTTTCCTACTTAATTTAATTTATATACCAATTTAATTCATATTTACTAAAAACTTTACTTATATTTTTTTACAATACCATATTTATTATATATCATAATAAATATATTTTATGCATAATTAAAACTAAAAAAAAATAATAAGTAAAATTTATTATACATAAACCTTACAATAATATAAAACATAAAAGGTTACAGATCGATAATAATAAGAAAAAATTATTATACATAAACCATACAATAATATAAAATATAGAAAATTAC